GATATGTGTTATATATTCTATATTGTTATATGTCATAAATTTTGATATTGTTATGTGCTATCCTTCATATATTTTATATTGCTATGTGCACTCAGAAACTGTATATACTATATCAAATCTGATGATTATTAAAGGATGGAGCGGACATATTTAAATAGAAATCCGTTTATTTATTGGTTAATCTTATACTGTTGAATTTTTTTTTCAAGATCAATACAACCGAATTTATATTTCATGATACTTTTAATGTAATTATTGCTCCCTTTACCCCAATCATTGTAATTATTACAACATTATCTTGGCAGAGTTTTATTGATTAATAGCAACATGTTAAAATAGCACAAGAATTTTATTGTTTGAACACGGTAACAACCAAAAATATCATTTATTTGCATGTCACTTTGTCTATAATCATTTTTCAATAAAATATTTATATAAGCATGTTATCGCTTTGTGATTTATTGCACTGCAAAACAAATTGTTGTCTTGTTTCATTAATAATTGAATAATACAAAGAAAACAATAAGGACAAGATACAAATATCAATATCGCATATCTGAAATAACAACAGACAATACAGATCCTTTAAAGAACAAATGCTTGATTCAATATCAATTAAGAAACAAAAGATACAGATTGCAATGATTGCAATAATTTCAAACACACATTATTGAATTAGCCCAGGGTTCGGCACCTGTCTGGTTCGTCCCGAGTGTATTCTTAGGATTTGCTGTGCTATGGTAGCGTAATAAAATTGATAAACCTACGGCACACTGATCAAGTTGATCAGTAAACTGAAGACCCGATCAAGAAGGAATTAGAAATAATTACATATGATTGAACCCTAGGAAGCGATTGAGATCAACATCGATCGAAAGAAATATAAAAATCTTTGATAGGTGGAAATGTACACTAGCCCTATAAGGTATCAAAAGTATTGTGTTTATTTATGTTGTACCAGAACTAACAGTTTTTTTCTATCATGCGTTTTACGCACGAGAATGTATAGGTCGTGACAAGTTAAAATCATTTTCATGCGTTCCAATTACTGCCTCTGAAATTGAATTTGAAGATGTTCAAGACATGCATAAAAATACCTGTTTAAGTGATTACCTGAGCAGTTTCTGATGTATAGACCATTGTTTTGTCAACATTAATAAATCAATTACAGAAACTGTAACTCTCAGCGGGAATAAAATCGATCATGTTTTATATAAACTGTAATGATGTTGAAACTATGATGAATTATTTGCTAACGACAAAAGCATTTATCATATGACATGGGCAGTTCTAATGTGTAATGTTATTGTCTCTATGGTTACACGTATGACGTCATAATGTACCACCAAGAATACAAATTGCTTTGCATATACACTTAAATCTGTCTGGTTTTGGCTACGACTTAAAGCTATATGATGCAAATATTTTCAGATATCGATAGATTTTTGTTCATATTTTTTAGGATGTTGAACAATAGTAACGTTTGTGGCCCTAACAGAGAAGTTAACAAATGTTTGTATTACAATGGAGGTAGAAAATATGAGATTGCAGGTGGTAGTTACTGCTGGTTGAATTTCAATTTTCCGTAACCTCTATGTCATATCTAAATTCGTTCGAGTAAATGTAAAAATCAGTATAAACATGTGTATTTCTCGTAAATCAATCAAGTTTATTTCCCCAACTTATATCGAACAATTTGTCGTGGTCGCTTTTAGGGTTTTAACAACTTAAGCCTTTAGCAACATTGACGAGTCCTCGAAGGACGAAACAGGCGTATGGTGAAGCATCACAGACGAGTTCTCGAAGGGCCAAACAGCTGTATGGTGTAGCATTACTGACAGGCCCAAAAAGGACGAAACAGTTGTATAGTATAGCATTACTGACAGGCCCAAAAAGGACGAAACAGTTGTATGGTGTAATTCAATTCATCATTGGGTGCCAAAGTATCTAATTCCGAATGTGCTATTGATTTGTTGGTCTTTTATACAATTCTCAAACATAAATCAGTTTCGTCGTTTTTCCCAAGTGATGCTTTACAGCCGAAAGTCTTCTATAAATTTTCGTAGTAGACAAAAAGGCATACTTCTGGTGATTGTTAGATATGGCTTGTGCAGATACGGACATTCTATCGATACATGTAGAAAATACGGTACCGTTTGATTCCATATCAGAGGATAACAAGGAATTTTCCAGTGGTTAGCCGAAGTGAAAAGATCCCTGTTCATGAATATATTTGAATGATTTCCAATATTCATGAATAACTCCCAACATTCATGAATAAATCTTTGATCCTGTAAAATCGTTCATTTTTCTTGGATATTTATTTTCATTAACTTGTGAAAGAAATACAAAGTAAAGAACATACCTTTCTTTGTTGAATTTTATGAGTTGGAAACTCCAGTGTATAGCAAATTATTTTTTGGGGTATTACCTAACTTACTTCGAACCCAACAAATGTTATCACGTGACTTCATGCTTTGATATTGAGCTACCTCGTGGGTAGTAATGTCAATAACAACGTCAAAACAAATGAAAGACAGAGATTCCGGATTACTCAGAAATCGACAAAATTTTTTTAATCTTGTTCAAACAGAGTGGGTATTGAGTGCATGTAGGGTTAACGTACTTACGCGGCGAATCTCTATATATAGAAACAGTCATTACCATATTCAGAAATTGAGATAATTGAATACCTAGAAATACTTGGTGCACGGTGATAACACGGTCAAACTTGACACGATATCAGATAGCTATCGTTGAAGGAGGTTATAGTACATTAAAGGGGAGTTAATCGAGAGGAAAAACTCATAAATACAGAATAAGGATTCAAATAACAGCGTTTATATAAACATATCACGGCTTCACTGTATGATATCTATAATTGTACTCTTGTAGTCACATATCACGGCTTCACTGTATGATATCTATAATTGTAATCACATATCACGGCTTCACTGTATGATATCTATAATTGTATCACGGCTTCACTGTATGATATCTATAATTGTATTCACATATCACGGCTTCACTGTATGATATCTATAATTGTAATCACATATCACGGCTTCACTGTATGATATCTATAATTGTATTCACATATCACGGCTTCACTGTATGATATCTATAATTGTATTCACATATCACGGCTTCACTGTATGATATCTATAATTGTACTCACATATCACGGCTTCACTGTATGATATCTATAATTGTATTCACATATCACGGCTTCACTGTATGATATCTATAATTGTATTCACATATCACGGCTTCACTGTATGATATCTATAATTGTAATCACATATCACGGCTTCACTGTATGATATCTATAATTGTATTCACATATCACGGCTTCACTGTATGATATCTATAATTGTATTCACATATCACGGCTTCACTGTATGATATCTATAATTGTATTCACATATCACGGCTTCACTGTATGATATCTATAATTGTATTCACATATCACGGCTTCACTGTATGATATCTATAATTGTATTCACATATCACGGCTTCACTGTATGATATCTATAATTGTATTCACATATCACGGGCTTCACTGTATGATATCTATAATTGTATTCACATATCACGGCTTCACTGTATGATATCTATAATTGTAGTCACATATCACGGCTTCACTGTATGATATCTATAATTGTAGTCACATATCACGGCTTCACTGTATGATATCTATAATTGTAATCACATATCACGGCTTCACTGTATGATATCTATAATTGTAATCACATATCACGGCTTCACTGTATGATATCTATAATTGTATTCACATATCACGGCTTCACTGTATGATATCTATAATTGTAATCACATATCACGGCTTCACTGTATGATATCTATAACTGTACTCTTGTATTCACATATCACGGCTTCACTGTATGATATCTATAATTGTACTCTTGTAGTCACATATCACGGCTTCACTGTATGATATCTATAATTGTATTCACATATCACGGCTTCACTGTATGATATCTATAATTGTACTCTTGTAGTCACATATCACGGCTTCACTGTATGATATCTATAATTGTATTCACATATCACGGCTTCACTGTATGATATCTATAATTGTACTCTTGTAGTCACATATCACGGCTTCACTGTATGATATCTATAATTGTAATCACATATCACACATATCACGGCTTCACTGTTTGATATCTATAATTGTACTCTTGTAGTCACATATCACGGCTTCACTGTATGATATCTATAATTGTATTCACATATCACGGCTTCACTGTATGATATCTATAATTGTATTCACATATCACGGCTTCACTGTATGATATCTATAATTGTATTCACATATCACGGCTTCACTGTATGATATCTATAATTGTATTCACATATCACGGCTTCACTGTATGATATCTATAATTGTATTCACATATCACGGCTTCACTGTATGATATCTATAATTGTAATCACATATCACGGCTTCACTGTATGATATCTATAATTGTAATCACATATCACGGCTTCACTGTATGATATCTATAATTGTAATCACATATCACTGCTTCACTGTATGATATCTATAATTGTATTCACATATCACGGCTTCACTGTATGATATCTATAATTGTATTCACATATCACGGCTTCACTGTATGATATCTATAATTGTAATCACATATCACGGCTTCACTGTATGATATCTATAATTGTATTCACATATCACGGCTTCACTGTATGATATCTATAATTGTATTCACATATCACGGCTTCACTGTATGATATCTATAATTATATTCACATATCACGGCTTCACTGTATGATATCTATAATTGTATTCACATATCACGGCTTCACTGTATGATATCTATAATTGTAATCACATATCAAGGCTTCACTGTATGATATCTATAATTATTTTGTAATTCTAAAGTACAATTTACCTGACTGTAACTGTATCAAAACTTATCACAAACACCAAACAAAAATATGACCATATTAATTTTATTCAACTCAATAACACCTACAATGTACTTGTCACGTACAGAGTGATATATAACCTGTATAACAGAAATAAAGATTTAAACATTTAACAAAACAATTGAAATAATATCCTAATGCAGATTTATCCCGTTTGTAATTCTTTTATTTTGCTGTACTTTATGTTTTCCTTGATTTACACTCTGGTTTGCTATTCTTTGATCCCATCATGTTTATACTTGTGTAAGTAGTATAGGTTATAGGCTACTATAAAATCATACATTTTTGTGAGCTTCAATTTCCGTGGTTTTTCAAAAATAAAATAAAAAACTTACTTTTCTGTAAAGCTGCTCCTACTCAGTTAACACTTCGTGAACATATAAATTGGTGGATTAAAAGTACCAACGAAATTTAAAAAAAAAAGAAATCCTCTTCAATTATAACTGACAGTTAGTAAGATTCAGAATATTCTAAAATCACATGGAGAAATTCTACAATTATAAAATACTAAAAACATGTATAATGTTTATAACTAAGTTTAAGGTGATATTAAATACACAGAGCATTCTTTATCACTTTGTAAGTTAAGTGTCCTGAACATATACCCTTAACTCTACCACAGATGATTGTCATGATGTGTAAGGTATACCATACAACCTTAACTTTAGCACTAACTAGAACAGTAATACAGGTTAACAAGGGCCCCATCCTGTGGATATGTATCCCCGTAATTATCAGGAAGCCACCTGCCCATACTGCTGAGATTGACATTTGGGCTTCACAAACAATCCAATGAAGCAAAGCCCACACGATCAGTTGAACCAAATGTTCGTTGCTAAAAAGATATGAAATTTGACCCTGATCTTTGACCTGTTGACCTTGACCTTTCATCAGGTTGACTCCTTGTTTAATTCTGTCCTGCACTGATTGGTACTTTCCCAATAAAATATCATCTGGAAAAGGATTTAAAATTTAACCCTGATTTTTTACCTGTTGGCCTTGACCTTTGACCTTTACTTTTGGTCAATCAAATTGTTGCTTAACTTAGACTTGATTTTCTTCTTCATATCATATCAAAACGAACATTAGAAAAAAACTGCCCAATTTGATGTTAACCAAGTGACCTTGAACTTTGTTCAGGTGGACATCTTGTTTAGTTCTGACAACTTCAATTCAAAATGTTAGTGTCAAAAGAAATGACACAAAATTTAACTTTGACCTATGACCTATAATCTTCAACTTTTATCTGTGTTTTGTTGACTTTGTTTTATAATGTTCAAAAAAATGTTGTCACTGACAAATATCAAAAGTTGACATTGATGTTTGAACCGAATGACTTTGAATTTGGACCTTAAGTTTTAACCTGTGAACTGAACTTCTTGACTAAACTGCATGGTAAATAAATACTAAAATCAGCAAAGAACTGAATTTGTGGACACACATACAGGACATCAGTATTTCTGAAACCACACTATAATAACTCATGTGATTTCTAAGGTACACTTCACTAAAATACGAATCACAACGACTTTGTGCTGTTTTGGTACAACAGAATGTAAAAAGTAGCATATATCCTCCTTTGATCCGAACAAACTTCATGCATGTAGGTAGAATGTTATAGATACCATATTCCCTTAACTAGAACACAAATCCGTAGAATGTCACAGGCACCATATACCCTTAACTAGAACACAAATCCGTAGAATATCACAGGAACCATATACCCTTTACTAGAACACAAATCCGTAGAATGTCACAGGCACCATATACCCTTAACTAGAACACACATCCGTAGAATGTCACAGGCACCATATACCCTTAACTAGAGCACACATCCGTAGAATGTCACAGGCACCATATACACTTAACTAGAACACACATCCATAGAATGTCACAGACACCATATACCCTTAACTAGAACACACATCCGTAGAATGTCACAGGCACCATATACCCTTAACTAGAACACACATCCGTAGAATGTCACAGGAACCATATACCCTTAACTAGAACACAAATCCGTAGAATGTCACAGGCACCATATACCCTTAACTAGAACACACATCCGTAGAATGTCACAGGCACCATATACCCTTAACTAGAGCACACATCCGTAGAATGTCACAGGAACCATATACCCTTAACTAGAACACACATCCGCAGAATGTCACAGGAACCATATACCCTTAACTAGAACACAAATCCAGTAGAATGTTATAGGCACCATATACCCTTAACTAGAGCACACATCGTAGAACGTCACAGTCACCATATACCCTTAACTAGAACACACATCGAAGAATGTCACAGGCACCATATACCCTTAACTAGAACACACATCAAAGAATGTCACAGGCACCAGATACCCTTAACTAGAACATAAATCTTATGTGGAATATCTAGGTGTCATACCTTTAATCTTTATAAAACAAATCTTTGACTATAATGTGTTCGGTGTGATACCTGCACTCTTTAACTTAAACAAAACATGCAGAATCTTTACTTGAATGTTGTTTAAATATCTTTATAACACTAATGCAAATTATAGGGTTCAGTAAAGATGTATGGCAAATGAAATATGCCTTTGTTTTGCAGTGGACTTTTTCATCTAATTTGATAACGTGAAACAATTACTTGGATAAGACATGACGCCAGATAAACAAGGTTATATTTAGGTATAAAGAGGAACACGTCACTGATTAGTCAGGTTTGTCTCACTGTCTCTGTATGTGTCATGTTTCCAGTTTGTTTTTCCTTGTCAATCAAAAATATTCTGAACACATCACAATGATTCCATCAGATATTTTGTATGATACACCAGGTTTATCATGGTGTTATTGATTTGTAGTTTTTAAGAGAAATTAGCTATAAAAACATGTCAATGTAACACTTTGAAATATGTTTTCTAGTTGTTTTCATACCATTCCAATAGGTAATTATCAATTTCACAGAGGGAATATTTAGAAAATCTCCACAGGAGTCAGATATCTCACATACACAATAATGTGTATGATATCAGTTGCCTAATAAGTGTTATATAAAACATGAAAATCCAGTGAAATTTCTCAACATTTTTTACCTTCAACAGCTAAATATAACTCTTAAGTATACACATGCATACCAGAACTAACTCCTCTTGTTTGTTGGGTTTATTGCCCCAAGAACAGTCGGGTTATTTTCAGCGAGATCTTTTTACAGTAGCTGGTGGCTAACTCAATAAACAACATACAGAAGGCACATCACATGCCATCCAGAGCAATAAGGGTGGAGTGTCACTTCCTGAGAAACAAAACCACATGTAGGGAGCATGGAACTATATAACTGTGATATTCAGCTCAAGCAGGCCAATGCTTTTACTGAATAAACTATTGACAACACATCACAATACACAGTCGAACCTTGTTATCTGAAACTCAGCGAGATCATTGGAAAACAGAGTATTAAATTAAGAATGTTTAAATATTTTGTGTAAAGTTCAGCAGGGAAAGACAAAATGCTTTGAATTAACAGGGTCTTTGATTTATCCAAGTTCGAAATAACAAGGTTCCACTGTACAACATTGGCTATTGTTCAAGTTATGACTCTCTAGGAAACCACTTTTAAATACACTACATTCTGCAAAGTCCGTCCCTCAACAATACTATTCACAGCCGTTTGTGACTCACTTTGGTCATCGTACACAATCTGCATGACAGTAGTTTGTCCCCTAGAAACAGTCTCCACTTCCTGTGTGATCTGCTCTATGTAGTTCTCATCGTGGGTAATGTTCGAGTCCTGAACCACCTCAGTGATCTGTTGGATGTATTCAGAATTCTGAACTTCGCCTGTGATTTGATGTATAAACCCAGAGTCATGAACCTCCTCTGTTATCTGTTGAATATACCCAGATTCATCCACTTCCTCTGGGAGGTTTTGTATATAGTCTTCATTCTGTATCTCTTGTGTCTCCTCTACATTGTTATCTAATTCTACATCACCAGTGTTTATATCTTTCTCTCCACTAACGGTGTAGTGAATACCTTCCACCATTCCATCCTCCCCTGGATCAGTTAATCCCTGTTCCTCACAACGATCTTTGTGTTTTCTTGTGCGCAGATGTCGCCTCCACTTGCTTCGTGAAGAGATCTGACAATGACAGAGAAGACAGGTGTGAACATCCGCACGCTGGTGGACAGTGCGCACATGTCGAAGCAGGAGCGTGTTAAGGCTGTAACTTCTAGGACAATATTTACAGTGAAATGGACGTTCCCCCGTATGTGTAGTCATGTGACGCTCGTACGTCTGCTTCGAACTGCAGAGCTTGTTGCACAAATCACACTGCCGTACTTTGAACTTGAGGCTGCTGATATCCTGTGCTGTTAAATGACTACTGACCATGTGACTGTTCAGGCCGTCGGTGCTGCGGAACTTGTGACCACATATTTTACACTGGTACCTCTTATCCTTATTATGAATTCTCTTGTGACGACGAAGTGTCTCCTTTAAAGTGAAGCATTGCCCACAAATCTCACACTGGTGCGCTTTCACCCCGCTGTGTACTGGCGCGTGTCCGAGCAGATTCATTTTTGTGCGGAATCCCTTATTACAAACCTCACAGACATATGGTCGCAAGTCCTTGTGCCAAGCTAGGTGAAGTGACAGAGAATGTTTGCTATTTAACATTTTCCCACATATATCACACACATACTGTCTGGTTCTTTCCCTTGCATGTTTATCCTCGTGTTCCATGCACGAGATCTGGTCCGGAAAATCTTGAGAACAAACACGACACCTGGTCTCGCCCTGGTTCGGGTGTTTTTCCTTCAGATGTTGCGTGAGTCCCTTCCGTGTGCTAAACAGTGCACAACAAAAGCGACAAATGCTGTAACGTTCACGATGAGTGTCCAGCAGGTGGCGCTGTAAGTACCGTGTCTCTAAAAAACATTTGCTACAGTGATGACAACTGTAGAATTTTGAGGCTGTGTGAGTGGACATATGCTTTGTCAACTGAAAGTCACTGACATAGCTTCTTCGGCAAAATTTACAAATATGTTTTCCAGCATCTTTAGTGAACAATCCTCGAACATCCTTTTGACATCGTGTACATATGATACTGGTTGCGTCAACATCTGATGTCACAGGTACACTATCTACTGTTAAAGACTTTGTTGCTGACACACCTCCTTCAACAATGCTTTTATCTCCTTGGGAAGTTTCACACTTTACTGAAGATGCTTGCATCTCCCCTTGAGAATCTTCTTTATCAGGACTGGTTGTACGAGACAAAGTTTCAGCATCATTATTATCAGTATTTGCAGATTTCTCATTATCTGCCACAAAACTACTTTTGATCATGGAATCCTTCACAGAAATAATTGAACCACAACTCAATTTAACCCTAACGTTACCTGGTGGTATCTCTTGTTCACTTTCCAAGTTACTAACAGCCACACTGGTAGGATTTATCTCCCCTTTATCAACAACACCTACTCTATTATCCTGTGCACTGTTGTGTGTTTCAGAATTATTGTCATTATTTGCCTCAAATACATTTTCTTTATTGCCTGATGTTTCCTGTTTTTTAGAAGTTGTCTCCCCTTCACATTTCGATGTTGTCATGCAGTAGCGCTTGTGAGTGCGATATTCTTTATAATTCTGAAAGCTATGAAGACAAACAAAACAGTCGATGGGTCCCTTTAATTTGTGAAATCGCACCATGTGACTCACACGTTCCCAGTCATACAGGAATTCAGTCTCACAGACAGTGCATGTAAACCCTGAGGAGCGGGAGGTAGTGTGGCGGTGACGATGACGAAGGAATGCAAAAGATGACAAAAATGTTTTGTCACACTCCTCACAAGTAAATTTCTCTTGTCCATCTGAAATACTAGTTTTCACTTCTAGCTTTATACCAGGACAGAATCCTTTCGTCTTGTGGCGTTTTAGAGTTTCTTTACTGGAGAAGACAAAGTTACAGGTACTGCACGGAACTCCGGTTTTAGTATGTCTATTGTTAGTGATCACTGATGTACAGTCGTTGATATCTGAAACATTGTTTTCAGTGTCCTCTTTTTCAATTTTTATATTCAATATCCCAACCTCATAAGTTGAATTTTCACCTGTGGTATCGTCCTTTCTTTCTGCTGTTGATGACAATGGACTTAATTCATCTGAACCAGTTTTTGTGGAAGTCTGTTCGGGTGACAGATCCGAGTTTTCACTACATTTCTCACCACTTGACCACTTGACCACTCTACGTTTTTTCTCGGCTCTAGCCTTACAAGCTTTACTCGAGAGATGCTTATTCATGCCCCTCTGAAGGATGTAGGCGCCACACACACCACACTTCGCAAGCCTTTTGAACCGTGCAGAATGCATACCTTCAGGCAACTTTGAATTTTCATCCTTACTATTATCACCAGCACCTGGTTTAGAAGCTTCAGGTCCTTTTAACTTTTTAACACTTTTATTGCAGATGGTGTCATTCAGTTGCCTCTTCAGACTTTCCTCAGACTGGTTTAAAAACTTGGCTTTTTTTGCTTCTTGTCGTGTAACTATCGCTGAACACACATCATTTTTAAGATGTCGATTAAGGGTACCTTGATACGCAAAGACTACATCACACTTCTTACAGGTGTACCTGGTCTTTTCCTTCAAAGTGTTCCTATTTTTTTTGTTACCAGATGAGTTCTTGCTTGAAGGCAATTTATTTGAAAAAGATTCATCCTTTTCTGCAACGTAATCTTTGTCATTATCATCATATTCCTCAATTTCATCTTCATCAATCACATCACTATCTTCATCGTACGAAGATCCTTTTTCATCAACCTTGGATTTTTTTCTGTTTTTGCGAAATGTTGAAACACAATTCAAATTAACATCAGATGGTGTATCAAGCTGTTTTTTGTTATCAGTAAGATTGACCTTTCCCTGACTGTTACAATGCTTGCTTTCCTCCACCGACAAACTGCATTTATTTTGAGCAACATTTTGTTTCTCCGATTTCTCTTTGTCAACACCCCAAGAATTTTCACTACCTTTCTTGAAGCTTGTTTCATACAATTTTAGTTTGCTAGGTGTAAACATTTTACGTTTTGGTCTTGTCCGCACTTCATTACTCTCCTCCTGATCTGAAGTACACACAGTCACATTTACTTCACCACCATCGACAGCGGTGCTATTTTTACCAGCAGTACACGACTCAGATTTTCCATTTTTACTGTTGATCTCTGCTTTTCTCTTTGTGGTTTTTGATTTGATGTCCCTGGTTGTATTTTTCCCTTTATTTGTTCTGTCACTTCTTGTCCTATCTCTGACAGGGGCAGTTTTACTTTTTCTTCTGTCTCTTGTGTTTGCTATTCCATCACAAGGTTTGTTAGTTAAGGATCTCGTTTGTTGTGTCCTGGTGATCATTTTGTCTGTAAGTCCATCATGCTCTCTGTCAGGACCTGTCTGGATTCTGGCTTTCAGTGGAATTTTCAATCTTAAGGAAGCATCCTCTACAGCAAAAAATTCATCAAGATAAAGAAACATACCGAGGAAAAAAAAAAAGAACATACTGCAAAGTAAAATATTTTCATGGGACTTAAATTTTGTGATTCTTCAAGAAAAGTTTTCCCTTGTTGGCACTTAATTTTGTAGATTAATAGTAGCAATGAAATCAGTAAATTACAACAATAGGCCTAGTGGCATTGACGGTCAGCTGAGGTAAATAATATTGAAGATAAAGTTTAGAGGGTATTCAGGTTTCAAGTCACGAAAAAAAATAGCGACATTGATGATGATAAGACTTAAGTGATGTGTTTTAAGGCCTTAAGGGATGGTGCAGTGTCAGTATATGCATGCCATCAAAATGTCATCCTATATTAATCATTCTTTCAAGTTATTTTCACTGAAAAATAAACAACTTAATCCAATTTCCCTATATAAACTTCAGTGACCTGAGATCATGGAATTCACAATTTTGGTAAAGCATCTGAATACCCTTCCATCCATGAAAATTTTACCACATTTTTTTTGGATGTTGAAAAAAAGATTTTTGAAATATGAGGCAATTTGACCCTTTTTGGCCCCATCAAGCTGTCATCAACTTCTAATAAGTCTAATTAAGTTTTATTCATAGAATGAGTTACATCTAGTTTTAATATTTCTCTATTTTTTTTACCAGCCATCAAAAGTAAGGAATGACCAGTGAAATAATCCCTGTATCTTAAATTAAAGAAATCCTATAGAGCCATAAATCTTTTCAGCTGATATTTTGTGTCCTTACAAGTTAATGTAAAAAGTGGAAGCTATTCTATCTGACCTGGCTTACCCTCTGAATCTCCTTCTTTCTTTAGCAACACGTCAGGAGAGGAATAGATTTCTAGAAATTAAAACAGGCATGAAGTTAGTGATTATTAGAGACTCAGAACTGGTGAAACATATTTAAAGTACTTTCCTAATTTAAGATGAAAAAAGGAAATTTTTAAGTAGACAACTAAATGTGTGATGATACAACCAATGTATTTCAATATAACGATTCTGTATAAAAATACATATGCTATGCTTAAACTGTGCTGAAACATCACTGACATTTTAAACACTGAAATTTATGAAGGGAGATAACTCACAAATTTTGCAGATTATATTGAGACACTGAGTAAGAAATCAGTCTAACTTATGAGTGGGTATTTTTCATGGTAAGTAGTGTACCATTTTCTTTCAAAGCTGCATGATGAAAGAGTAGCCTGTCATTAAACTATCAACTAGCTATATCATAAAGTATGTATAGAATGATAGTGAAACAAATAATATTCATTAATCAATTTAAATCCAACAGCCAGTTTCAAATCTTCTTCAAAACACTAAATATGTTTAATTCATGTCAAAATTTATTTCATTGAATAACTATGAAATACAGAGAAAAGTATATTAATAATTCATCATGTGTTTTTGGTAGAGACAGCCAGCAATATCACAAAATACATACATACCTATATCTAACCTCTATACATTAAAGAACAATAGATAGGCTTTTTATCAGGTGTGGACGCATTGCATGGTAGGTATAGATTTACTGCAAACAGATAATTGGCTGTGATACTGACCTGCACAAAACTTCCTGAATTCCTGAGTAAGTTTTGGCTGGTTCTGAACAAACAATAACGCATTCTTTGTCCCGAGATTAGAGAAAGTTGTTCCACGATTCGCCACTCGTAGAAAAAGACAGTCCTCACCGCTACTCTCCAGCTTTTGACACTGAAATGATAAATGGCATGTTCAGAAAAGCAATGCGTAATCTATTCCAGTAATATATTTTCACCTCATTTACAGCCAAAATAATGGCTTATTCCAGAAACTAAATGCTTAATCTATTCCAGTAATATATTTGACCTCATTTTCAGCCAAAAAAATGGCTTATTCCAGAAAATCAATGCTTAATCTATTTCAACATTATATTTGACCAGATTTATAGCTAAAAAAGTGCAATGTCCCCTTGCTTAGTGTATTTCTTCCCAAAAAAGATCATTCAAGGGGGAAAAAATCTAGAAAAATATTACTACATGTCCTACTATATACAGACACAAGTGGCTATAAAAAATGGGGTTTGTTTTATTACTTATCTGTCTGTTATCCATCAAATCCATGTAATTTTTTTTGTGTTTGCCTGTCACTAGTGAAGGGCCAAAGAAAAAAATATTTGTTTCCTGTTTCTGCCTGGAAAAAATTGGGTGGTAGGTAGGGATTTTATGTATTAAATAATGTCTACTTGCTTCTGATACTAACTTCTGAAGTATTATACACATATTGATAAGGGAACAGTTAATACACACCTGTAAGAAGTGTCACATGTGTATTATCGGTTATTTATCCTCTTGAATATTGCAATCTGTGACACCGTCTGATTTTTAAAAATCTTTCCTGTTCTATCAAGAGCTGAATGTCAATAAAATTCCATTCAACAGTGTAGGAGTTGCAATTTTAAGATTCTGGACAGATTCTGAACAGTGATTTGTATATGCCCACCCTTAAAATTGTTTGCGGGAAGTATTTACTGAAAATAACAAATAAAAACAAACAGATAGATGTTGATATCTGTCAGAGCGATCGGCAGGTTATCACATTCAGGAGAGATGCATATTTGTCTAGAATAACTGATCTCACATTTGCTTTTTGTGAAATATCATGATGTTTTTAAAGACAAGTTTTTACATTTTATAAATTTTACCACCAAAACTGATGAGGGTATGGTGGCCACTATCTTTCCAGATAGATGTTTGACATTTGTCTGGCTAATAACCAGCTGTATATGTCACGTGTTAGCAGTGAATTTTCATCGTGTATAAGAGCTGCTAGGCATTTTGTCAAAATGCTGAAAAATGAAAAATATGCAGTGTAGCTTAAAAAAAGTGGCAGTTCATAAACAGGAAACAAAGACATTCTTTGGACTTATATACACCAGAGGGCTTTTCATTGGCTGTGCCAATCACAGATTGATTGTGATGTCATCATATGGACAGTAATGTTACAAATAATGTAAGGAAATTTCAATTTTGTCTTCACGTTTTCATTTTAAAACCTGCTGAAATGTATCATTATTAGCTACAGTATGATAAAAAGTGTCTGAAATTGGTTTTCATTTTAATACAAAGTACCTGGTAGATTTTGCTTCAGGGTATGCTTAATACCCAGGCTAGAGATCACCCAAGCTTCAAATTTTACTGGGAAAATTTACAATACTACAAAAAGGGAGATAATTAAATTATCAAATTGTAGTAAAGCATCTATCTGAACAAATGATCTCCTGCTTTTCAATAAAATTCATACCCTGTGCCTATGTAGAAGTTGTAGATTTGTTTTAGTGCCAATACCAACTTTCTCCTAGTTTAAAATATAGTCTAAAATGGATGTTTTTGCTGCATGAGTTAATTTAGAATTTAGATTGGAAACACTACCAATTGTGGAAAAATGGAATTTTTTGGTCAATTTTGAAAAATGGTTAGAATTCAAACAAGAGATAGGGTAAAAATATGTGACATACCTGAAGATTACATAAATGAAATATGACAGGTCAGATTCTTTTTCATGATGTTATGATTCAAAGCTGTTAAAATAATTTCTCTTTAGGGGAAATTTTCCATGTTTGTATTTTGTTTTTTTATGGAGAATTTGTTTATATTCTGATGGGAAATCATCCCTCGGGGAATGCTGCCCCTTTCTGGGAGTAAAATTTGCCTATTTTAATTCATGATATATACGTAGTCATTTGATAAACTATCAGTGTTATTTTTTATTTTACTTGTAATAATCTTAGCCTTACGATTTGTCCAATGGTTTCTTGGATGTCTTCTGACAAATTCACACGATTGCAATCTGCCTCCATCTTGTCTCATCGCTACAAAGGTAAAACAGGAGATATTAATGATCTAACAATTTATATAAAACTGAAAGCATTTTTAACAGCAATTGATGAACTAATGCATACTTCAATCAGATATTTTCCCCATTCAATTTCAACTCTGCAATTTGCTTCTTTCAACAAGATTTGCCCAGCAATGAATTTCTAAGACCAAAGCTCTATAGTATTGAGACATTTTTTCTACACAACACAAAAATGTTCTTCAACCAATGGGAAGGGATGCAGCAGAGGTGTTCTGTGTTAAATAAAGCTAGTATTAATGGGACAACTGTTAAAGACATAATAAATTAATCAGTTACAATATATTAATCCTTCCGTTGCAACTTTGCTGATTAAAGTCAGTTCAATATATTTCAATTTCAGAATCCCTGTCTTACTGTTATTCTTTCTGTGATGTATCATTCCTTTTTAAGCTGGAAAATAAATCTGATCTGGAAATAAGTGGAACTATTTGGTTTACAACATTTAATTGTTTTGATAAACAGTTAAGATATCTTTCTATCAATGTATGATTTTTAACCAGCACACAGTTGTAAATAATAAAAACATTGCCTGGACACTGATCCTTGCAGTGTTGATAAGATTTTGTGTTTTGTAATTCTGACTATTGACCACGACTAAGATGAAAATAGTGGACAAATAGTCCAAACCCTTGGGATTAATAGTTCATGAGTTGCCATATTTGTCAAGCTTCAAATGCAAGTGATTTCCCTTTATTCTCAATAACAACAAAACTTGACATCCTGTGAAAAGTAGTGATATTTCTTAGATTTTACTGATTGATCAATTGTCAGCAACGAAATGGATCATCAAAATCAACTAACCTACAACTTATGCACTTCAGTAGAAATGCCAAACGCTATATATAGCATTGTCCTATAGTAACATTAACTGAATGCTGACCCTTACAGGGGCATCAGTAATTGGTGTTTTCATTTAGGAGGGAATTCTTACTATTGATCCGTGACTGAGACAAAATAATAACACTTATTGATAGTCAGAACCAGCCATACTCTTTTCAATTCTAAGCTTTTTTCAAATTAAATAAAGAATCAAATTGTTTCAACTTTAATCCTTAATTTGACCATGGTATGATCCATGATTATTATGCACTGATCATTGCAGTAAGTTCATAATATATTTGTGGAGTTAAGGCCTGGTCCAGTTCTGTTTCGGGGGAAATGCCAATAGTTGTTTAATTTGCCTTTAACACAGCCAGATACGCATGGAAATTCTATGAAAAAAACAGGTCTGGATAGAATTAGTGGGATAAATGTTATCTGTCATTATTATCTGTTTTTGATGAAAGGTCATTGCAAGAAAGACTTCTGGAAGTACAGTTTCACCTTTGGAGTAGTCGTTATATAGAACAGTCTGCCAGCACAAGGAATAAGATCGTCAAATACCCAAAAGTTTGAAAACTGTCTTAACAAACAATGGAAGGACCATTCAATGAAATATAAATTTAACATTTCAACAATTTATCAGCTGCCTAAGAGGACCAGTATGTCCTGCTAGCGGATACAACATAAGTAAACATAAGTAAAGTTATCAGTAAAGCTGACGCTAATTTAAAATATTTCAACCCCAGATATTCTAGAACATAGCTCTTACTCAATCCCTTTTGGGATTCCTCCTTGGGACTTATTTATAGATGAGTCTCTGGGAGAAACCCCAGAGAGAATTATTCTAACCTCCATCCCGGGTTGACTGTTGCGATTATCGTCTTCTGACAATCTGTCAAACCATTGTATAGATAATCAACATTTCCTAAATATGGCCTTAATGAAAACGAGGAATTTTCAGTAAACGAGTCGTGCATCTTTCTGCAATACATACGTAAAATAGCCTACTAGACTCTTCCACAGTATGTCGAGTTGTGAACATCCATGGCAGAATGAATAAATGGGGAAAACGGTAAACGGGTGCGTTCGAAAATCCGGAAATATAGCATATAGTACAGATATATTTTCAACCAAGGAAAACATCATTCATAAATCAAGTTTATTTCTTGACCGACATTAACATCATTCTTCAAATTGTATCATTATGTTCTAAAATAATAATAATGATAAAAATAGTTGAGGATGGCAATCACATTTTTCATCCGGATTAATCGAGCGGGTTTGCATTTTAGTCATCCTTTTCCGGTTCGACCCTTGGCGCGGACAATCCGTCCTTGTAGCAAGAAGTGAAAAATTGCAATATTTTCATTCATTTGAGGTAAAATACACAATTTTGCACATAGCATTAATATAATGTAGTGATATTCTTCAATGTCACATGCATACAGAGATGATTCACCGACGACGTAGTTTTATCCAAGCTTGTTGATCATCCGTACTCCGAAACGAACGCTCTGCAAGATGGAGGATATTGAGGGGCACCTGAGGGGAAACGTAACTTACAACTAAAACTTAAATTTATAAATGGACATTGAATTATACCATATACATATTTATCTGCGAATTGATGTTAAAGTACTTTGATTATGTTTATAGTTAGGGTCAACATAGGTTGAAATTTGCAGCTCTGTATTCTTTTAATCAGAAATAACCTATGCTTTGAGTCCAACTAGATAACAGTTACCAATGGGACAATTTCCATGTGTTATGTATATATATAGTATTATTTGGCCGTTGTATGTTTTACATATCTACTGTCTTATGACCTCAACCCTTCATTTAATTGATTTTGTTTTTAATAAATTTCATCTAAATATAATTTTTATTTCTACATATTTTTGTCCATTGATGCAATATTTAGTATATATTTGATGTGCGCGTTATTATTTCAAATAAAAATATCAGAATACATTCAGTCATTTTTCATCATAATCATAATTTCCCCTTATCTTACTCCAACCATCACTTTGCATTCATGCTATATGGCAGACAGGTGCATGAATGTGCAATCTTGGAATGTACAAGGAGGGTTTGTTGTTTTTGCTTTGTGTATTTCTGGAAAGTGCTGGATGGATCTTAACAGGGACGTAGATATCTACGTCCCTAATCTTAATAAAAATTTCAAATGTTGTCACCCATGGCCTAAGTACTGCTTGCTTAATTTTGGGATTGATAAGAACAACTACAGTAGACTACACAGCTGATCTTGGATTTTGACAATGAAAGATCGTTATTCTCAAGAAGTGACTTACTTCCTGTGTGCAATAGGCATTTCACGTTTATGCCCTTGTAACTTTGAGATTGATCAGAAAAAAACGATGATATTTGATTTGAACTCTTTTTTATAAAGTAATTTCTGGAGTAGTTTATGTATATTAGGATCGTTACCAAATCTCATTAATTCATAACTAGTTTCTGATTAGATTCAGATTACAAAATCAAAGTTAATGATAAACTGCTATCTTGGATGTTGAAAATTGAAGTTAGTAATTTGTTTTTTATGAAGATATACCAGATAGTCCTTGCTAAAATTTTGTAAGTATCCATTGGAAAACAGCTTAAATATTGTTTGATCGTAGCACTTTTTTATATATAAAAATAGCCTGATGTTTGTTGTTTTCCAGCAAGGGTATTCATGGCAACAGACCCACCAGACATACTAGAACAAGCTCTCGCAGAGGTTGGCCCTTATATTGGGTTAGAACCAGGGTCAGAAGTCAACCCCTACAGCTCTGCAGATGTGGGGTCCCAGATCACTCCTTATATTTCTAGACAGACAGATAACCTTGTCCAAGACGTCCAGACGTTGGTAAGATGAAAGCTTGATAAAGAGAGTCTGTATTTCAAATGAGGTTAAAAAATAAGCTACAATATAGATCAGAAGCTCAAATGATTTTTTTGTGAAATGATTGGCAATGCTGTCACCTTTAAAAATATTCACCATGTATATATATACTTACCTAAATGTATGTTAGATTAATAGTACCTTTTGGTTTGTTTAATGTTATTCTCTTTTGGATCACTGTGTTTTACTGGTTAATGGCCCTAATGACCTTTTATGTGTTGACGAGCCGTTAAGAATGTCATAGTAATAATGATAATAATAATAAAAGATTAACATTAAATGAATTAGATCCTTTTGATCATGTGCATGATTAGCTTCAGTCGTTTTTTTAGTGTAATAATTAGGGAGTAAGGCTTATTACAATATAATTACACAACATTTCTCAGAATTTCACCTGAAATGGTGGTGAGTAAAGTCTTATTGTTGTATGTTCACACAACCACAACATACCAGGGATTACACTCTGTATCACTCTCTGAACCCCTAGAACTCTTCATAACATCCACATTTCTTTCATGAAGTCCCTTCCCTTTACCTTATAGAGAAAGAACCAATTTATAAAGATTCAATTACAAATAAAATAAACTGTTGATATACTTAGAAATATAGAAATTATGTCCCATATTTGTTTTTCTTGAGGTTGAATCTGATTTTATGCACATGGAGAAAACAGTATTTATTCTTATAAATGTCATTGGAAGATTTATTTTACATGTTAAATCATAAATGATAAAAATAACTGTAACATAAGTACTGACTTGTTTTGGCAGTGATAAACTTGTGATTAACCCTTGACAATGTTCATAAGTGATATTTTCTTGTTGTATTATTTTCAGATTGTGTCATTCTCAGATATCATGATATTTTGGTTTACAGTGTACAAGACTTGCTGAACAAGGGGAGGAAACTCTGTTTATATCTGTAAACATATCAGGCAACCAGTGTGCTTACCTTGGCTCCACGTTTGGTAAAGACTACATAGAGAAGAATGATCTGGTGCAAGGATTTTTTTCTTATTGTAATGGTAGGTAAACCTCACAAACAAACAATAATGTGAAGGTTTTTTTGTTTGTTCGGTTTTAATCATTCTGTGAGCAGGCAGACTCTAAAACAAAGTGTTAATGTAGAGTATTAGCTGGTAGTTTGGTCACTGAAACACAAACGGGTGACCCATACGGAGGGACAGTGCAGCTTGAGTAAAGAGTCTTGCTTGAGAACACAACCACAAAACACAAGTGGTCTATGATCTCAGTTTCCAAAGAAACAGAAACTATCTCAGATAAAGCAATATGGAAGTCTCTCTTGTGCAATAATTAACTTTTGTAGTATGGATACATTAAAAATGCATTAGTTCACATTCCTGAAGGGCAAGTGAGCTAATGCTGTGCAGCAGCATCCAGCATCATTGTTCACTTTAAATGACTTCTTCGCATTCATGAAAAGGCCTAGGACAGTCATAGGCTTGTGGGATGCTGGAATAAAGGGCTACCAAGTGGGTTTAAATGGATGACCTTGACTCACTTTCAGGGTCACACGGATCAAGTAATAATATGATAAAGTATTCTTATTAAACAGAAGGATCCGGGTACTAATAAATCTTTTAAATTCATCTTTTTAATTAGCAAAACGTCCCGAGGAACAAATGTGTTATTAACAGAAAATATCTTTTTTTTCAACAAGATGTGGGTCACGGTATTTGTGTAGTATCATGCTTGAAGAAGAGGCTTTCTTGTTTGAATAAATTGACTTAAAAAACTGACAAAGTCACCTGTGTAAGCTTCAGAACAGGTGAATTAGTCAAGCATATTGGGCCTCTTGTTATGACAAATACATCTCATAGATATACATTTCAGTTAAGGACTTCAAGCACTGGAAACATTTCATTGACCTACTCCTGTACAAAGTTGTGTAAACAAAGAATACCAGACTGTCAGTTATATGCATTTTCAGCTAGTAGAACTACTTTTTGTTTCAAATGCTACTAAAGCCAGGGCTAGCTCTGGGCCAAAATTCAGTTTTGCCAAACCAAATTTTTTTTTGCTATAAGTGCGCGAACAGATTCCGGAACTCGCCCTCACCCTCACCCGACGAGCCCTTAATTCCCTCATATAATAAAAACACATATGCTAATTATATAATTACATTATTTATTCACTGTTTTAACAACAATACATCAAACATAATACAGTATATGGTAAAAGAGTTTATAAACATGGAATTATTACAGGCCTTCTGCATCTCGACAGTTTGCTGTTGTGTTGCCAAAGCAGCAGAGTGAGAGTTCTCATCTGTAAAATTGAAAATAAAATTTAGAATAGAATTGGACGTTTGTAGAGAGATACAGGATTACATCGAACCTTATTTTACACCATCAAAGTATTATACTTATTACAGTAACTTCCTAAGTAATATATCTCTTAAAAACACTTCAGAGATAATAAAGACATAATCGTTAAACTAAAAGATTGTGTTTCTAATTCATGTGCCAAGCAGGCTGTAATGAGTAACTATATTGTACCATCCTCTAGGCATTTCTGAATTACTAAATCTAAAATTACATAATTTTCTGTTCATAAATGATGAATAGTTGTATATACCTGATCCTTTCTCATGCTTAACCAAGCACTCTTTCTTACTGCAGCCATCAGTGAAACTATTTCTAACTAATGCCTTCATACATATGTCACAAAACATTAGCTTTTGCTCTGGGTCATATTTTAGCCATGGCCCGCCAATTTTCCAACTATCTAGAAACTTTCTTGAACTACTGCCCTTGTTAGTAACCTGATCAGGGCAAGCACAATGCCAGGATGGATCCTGGAGTGTAGGGGACTCATTTTATATTTATAGATAAATATATATAAATTGAGGGTCTTAACCCCAACTAAAGTGGGAGGTTTTCAGGCTAAATAATGGACTTGGGGTTAATTGTCGTTGTTTTTGTTTGACTGATGGGATTTTTTTCGAAGTATGATGTATGGTTTCAGACTTCATTCAATCAAAATTTTGAAATATGTAATTAAACTGTCAAATCATTGAATTTCAAATTAAGGATGATTTCCTGACCTAGTGCATTTTTTATCAAATATGATTGTCTCGGTAACCTTATAATTGACCTTAACTTTATGTAAATGAGAGAAATGTGTATAGTATGTCGATTTTGTCTATTTTTTGTATAGTTTATCACTTAAGAAATAAACTGTAGAGGACAAGACTAATATTTCATCCTAAAAATTAGTGTAAGTCTGTCATCTGATACTAATTTTGTTGAAGATTGCAGTCTGATACCAAGTCTGATTATTTGACAAAATTGACTGTATACTGTTATACAATATACTGTTGGGTCATATATTCTCATGGTGCTCAATTATGGTAGTTTAAAACAAAAACTATTTCATTTACATTTGATTTCATGGACATTTAAATTCATGAATTAAAATTGAAATTAATGAAAATAAAACACCCACAAAAATTATGGTTTGAGGGAATATATAATTTTCCTTAAGATACTATGAAAGTTATCATTTTTGTGGGTTTCTATTTTTCTTTATTTTCAATGATGGAACAAAATGGTCTTTTTTATAACCTCTTCCATTTTAAGATATTGGTAAAACCACAAAAATTGTTCCAATGAAGAAAAAACTGTTTACAGTATGCAAATCTGAGGTTATGTCCCCTTCATTATAAATGATACCAGGAGAATTTTGCTTCACAAGAAGGGAAAAATTCTACTAAGCAAATCTTAAAACATCCTTCTTGTTTTGTCAGAAGTTTGATTCACCAGGGGTGAAGTGTGTCTCCAATAGGGAAATAGCACATCTTAAAACTTCCTTCTTGATTTTTTTCTAACAAAGAAGCTCTGATGAAATTTGATCATCTTTGTTTACCCTTTTGACAGAAAAATTCTTTTTGTTAATTTTCATTGTATTGAAATTGAAATATTTTGTTTTGAAATGTTTAAGATTTTTACTTATCAGTAAGATCTCAATAGGTTTGCTATGAATGCCTAAAGCTCATTTGGTTTAAAAATTGAAAAGTAAATAAGAAATATCTCTTGTGCTTGACAGTAAATGTACCTGTGTTTTTAAATTTGATATCTTTGTAAAGCCTGCATCAAAGACACTGTTATTTGGAATTTCATTTTAAGTGATATTATTGCCTTACAGAAAAGTACCAATCCAGATTTGACCAGTCCAGCACATCCCAAGTAAAATCGCCTAAGGCATCCCCAGCCCAGGATTCACGGCAACCAGGCCAAAATATCAACCATGCATCACAACAGTCAGGTCAAAACTCAAATCAGATATCACAGCAACCAGGCCACAACATCAACCAGTCAACACAACAACCAGGCCAAAGCTCTGAACAGACATCACAGCAAACAGGCCACACCAATAACCAGGCACCCAACCAAGCCTCAGTCGATGTAACTAAGTCCCTCACGGCAGTATCGAATACTCCTGTATCAGTGGCTACATCAACCACTGGATATCATTCACTGTTGACAAAGGAAACCATCCAGGAGGTTGTTCAGAAGTCCCAGATAGAAAGAGATGGAAAGAAACCAGCATCACTTACTTCTTCTGTATCATCAATGCCGACAGCCAATGATGTTGCTGGACCTCCAGTTGCTAATGTAAAAGGATGTTCTGAATCTGTAACAACCAATGTTTCTAAGGCTAGCACACACCTGGATAAATCCATAGGGACAGACTTTCCTGATGAAGAAGAAAGTACAGTGTCTGACAGAAACAGTGTTCAGAATAACCAAAAAGAGGGAATGGAAAAAAAATATGTTGTGTATATACAGAAACCTCCAGATGTTAACTCTAACAAGAGTGTCCTTGTGTATAAACGACCTGAAGAACTTCAGAAAGATACACTGAAGAAACTTGGATTAGTAAAATCTGGTGAAGAAACAAATAACAAGCAGAAGCAAATGGAAACAGCTAAGTCACATGACCTTACCAAGGACCCGGATGAATCGGCCAGTAAATCGAGAGAAGATTACGGGAGAAACAGAAGACGTGGCAGGCCACCACGGTCAGTTACCAGTGCTAATACAGTCATTAGTGGGCTAGCAAAAGTCAAAAACACTCAGTCTGTTGACAACAAAACTTCTCAACATACACAATCTCTGGACGGAACTACCTTAGACAACTCGCAAGGACAGGTAACCAGAAAAGCAACAGACGAGCCGTCACCTGTAGGCAGACAAGCAGTGGACACATCTACCTCACAACACACGCCAGAGGCAGGCACGAAAGGACCATTTCACATGAGGACAAGAAGCGGAGGAAAAGCAAAACGCATGCCCTGGCTCAACAAATGGAAAAACGATGATGAACCTGATGAAAAGAGGAAAGATAAAGAAAGACAGGGAACCACATCTCCGCAGCAACAAAGCACAACAGGAAGGAAGCGAAAAAATTTACAAAGTACTGAAGATGGAAAGAAAAAGATAAAAGTAGAGGTGGAATCTGACAGCGAAACAAATCACAATGTTTTAGTCACTAGTGAAAAACCTAGAGCATCAAAAAGACTAGCCAGCCGGTCGATATCTAATCCAGATGGAGAATCATCAAAAGAATTGGAGAATGAAAAGACTGAAAAGCTAGACACTCTTGTCGTTATAGAAAAGTCAGTGGACGAAACTGGTGACGGAAATTCTGAAGAGATTGTGAGGCAGACAGTTACGAAAACGGGTGGCAGCGTAGATAAGGCGATAAAATGTGATACCGGAAGTGGGGGAGTAGAGACTGAGGTAGGAAGTGAGCAAAACGAAGAAAGTTGTGACAAATGCGAGATATGTGGGGATGACTATGATACTTCTGAAGCGCTTCTCGTACACATGGAAAGTGAACACAATATTAAAAACTTGCATGAAGAGGAAAGTGAATCTGATGAGGTGTCAAAAGAAAAAGAAACTTATCGGTGTTTTACTTGTGACAAGGTGTTCAGCACGCCATTCCGACTACAGATTCACCGGAAGGAGCATAGCTCTGGTCAGTATGTGTGTAATGTGTGTGGGAAATGTTACCTACAGGAACGCGTCCTTCTCCGACACATCAATCAGATGCACAAAAACAAATTCCCGTGCACCGAGTGTCAAGAAATGTTCAAAAGTCGACGTCAGCGCGAGGAACACATGGCTATCAAACACAATCTGCCTTCATTATTTAAGTGTAAACACTGCGAGGAGAAGTTCGCTGACGTTAAAGCTCTACGGGTACATGCCAAGTCTCACGTGACTCCATGCATCTGCGAGTTTTGTGGAAAATCATACCCTCGTCGCACCGATCTTATAATGCACCGCCGTACTCACACGAAAGAGAAACCTATCAAGTGTAATGATTGTGGACGCGGCTTCGCACGAGCGAGCACGTTGTTAAGTCACAAGCTGACGCACCGTAACTTTAATGCCTTTCAGTGCGAGGTTTGTGGCCGCACTTTTAAAACCAAGGAATCAATGCGACAACACAAGAAAATCCACACAAATGTGGCAACTGTAAAATGTGAACACTGCGAGCTGAAATTTAGAACATTTGATGGCATGAAAAATCATGTCATTCAAGGTCATCCAAATATAACGCCGCCGAAAAGCTGGCACGTATACTCGTGTGATAAATGTCCGAAGAAATTTGGCGGGAAACAGCAGTACATCAGACACATGAGTGTTCATACAGGTGTGCGGCCACATGAGTGTGATATATGTGGAAAATTTTATCCCACACCTGGTGCTCTGAACACACACAAAAAAATACACAAGGAATGCATGCCGGAACGTCGGTTCCATTGTAATGTATGCAATCATCATTTCGGGATATTTTCCAAGATGAAACGTCACTTGGAAACGGCAAAACATATTCAATATTGCTCGGCAGTAGGCGTTGATCCGTTGGGAAATCTACGGGAATACGAAGCCAAGATTGCTGCTGAGGGAAACACACGTGTTCATGTTGGTGGTGTCCAGGTTCCCGCCGACGGGTCTATGCCCATCGTTATTAAGAATGAGATTTCGGAATTAGCTGAGTATGAGGGAGACGAAACAGTCGAATGTGTGCTGATACATCTCCCTGACGACGAGGTGGCACTTCAAGATGGCGCCCAGATTGTGTACAGTATAAATACTGAAGACGGAACGATAGAATCGGTATTTCATGAGAGCGCCCCACAGGAAGAAACTGTTACTGAACAAACACAATGATCATGTTTAAAAGCAGCAGTATTCCTGAAAAAAAACACCCAACCTCAAGAAAAAGCAACAGAAATGCTGTAATCACGCAAGATTGTGACGTTTCACAAAATGCTCACTCCCATCGGAAGATCTACGCGCACTTCAGCTGAAACAAACCGGGGCAGTGCACACTTTGTGATCTTGCGAGAATGTAACATTTCAACACAGCGTTCCCAGGTAGAAACCGCTAGAGTTAAATAACACATGTTTGGTAACTCTGCCGTTTTAAATGTCTGATGGAGGGAGGCGTTACTGCATTTTGACTCACACAGTGACAGAACTAGTCGATATCATTCACTATAACTTGTATTGATAGAGAGAGATGCACAATGTCAACAGTTACCGCAGTATGACATCAGTAACATATCGAGGATTCTATTCAGTGTACCATTCATATGGAAGACACCGATAGTGTGTGGCAATGGAGCAAAGTTAAATTGAAGTTAATTGTTCGGTATTTGTGATCACGAAAATTTCCCTGAAAGCGTTTGTGAACTACTACACTTGTATGCCCATATATGGTGGACTTTCGAACTAAAAGATCAGACGGAATGAGTCGTAATGCTTTGGAGTTGGTGTTGGATTATACGGAAGAGTCCCACACTGTCGCCCCTAAAATTTGTTCCTAACCTTCTCTGTTCTGTTCGTCTTTTTAAACGAATTTGTCCTTTAAAGACATAGTTTTCTATTTTTCACTTTCAAAAAGTTTAAAAAGTGTTTTTAGTTGTAACTCTATGCACGCGATCAATTTTGGTCAGAAATCACTAAATCGTAACGCTTGTGTTTCAACAGTACCAACTAGGAAGGTTGATTCTTAATATATCGTTTCAATAATATAATTTTAATGAAAATACTATCTGCCTTGTCTTAATTCACAAGTCTATCACTACCGAATGAAGACATTTTTTTTCATTACTTTGATTTGGATTTCTGTCGCTCAATGTTTTAAGATAGTAACATTCATCTCAGGAATGATAGGTTGATATGTTAATACTTTGGGTAAGTTAATACAGCGTATGTTCAAGAAAACTTGTTGTGAAAATTATTTTTGTTTATTAAAATATATTTACAGCATAGATTTTTTTTATCAATTTTAAAACTCGTCCAGTTTTAACTTCCACGTGTCTTCTGGGTTTCAGCGCTTTAGATCCTACTACGAGTCAAAGCAGTATAAAACCGCTGTGTGATTCAGTTATATTTTTACGTATTGAGAATGACTCTCTGCTTTGTCGGTCCCTTTGTTGTACACAAACTTTTACCTGTAGGAGACCTTGGTAAAACTCTAACTTGACAAAATGAACTTTTTACTAGTGTTGATGGCCTTTGTCATTGGCTGTTTGGCTGTTCTTATTTTTCTCACCATTTCATCCTTTCATCCTGGCTTATTATCAACATGTAAAACCTGGTGACGAATTTCCTAGTCCGAGTTTTTAACACTACATATCGTGACATATATTTTTCTCCCTCAGCTGCGTTTGAGGTGATCTGAAATTAGGAAAATCAGAAATACAAAATAATCTTCGTAAATTTCTCCATGATGAATCTCAAAAATTGTACAAGTGAATAGAACACCTGATACAAATAGAATTAGATATAGTTGAAGCTAAATTGTGCCATGTGTTATCTCCACATACTATCGGACTCGTGTCCAAGTTTTACCTTTTTGCTATTCATGAAATTTTAGATTTTGGTGTTCCTTTATAATCGCCGATAAAAATACAAAAATTATTGCGAATTTTATAAGTCTAACCGCTAGCACCGTCACCTACACGTCTGAAATGTGGTCATAGAATATATCAAAATGTCACTTGTTTCCTATGGAAGCGTATTCCGGGCACGTTGTGTTTTATTTTATCTCGAAATTTCGAGATGGCAACTCGAAATTTTTAGTTAGTAATCCGAAATTTTGAGTTAGTAAGTCGAAATTTTGAGTTAGTAAGTCGAAATTTCGAGTTATTTAAATTGTGAGATATTAACCCGATATTTCAAGATAACAATTCGAAATTTCTACTTACTAACTCAAAATTTCGGATTACTAACTCGAAATTTCGAGTTGCTATCTCGAAATTTCGGGTTAATATCTCAAACTCAAAATTTCGGATTTTAGCCTTCGGGTCTCAAAATGCTTGGCGCATATCATATGAAATCTATATATGAACTCGCCCGCATCAAGTTGGAATCTTGGTACATGTAAGTACTTGTGGCGGCTGAGTATCGTACATTTACTTAGAACAGCTCATGTATACAAGTGTAGTGTGTACAGTGACATGGAGATATTTGTATATGATCTAGTACAAGAAAATTCAGTGTCAAAATCGCCATGTAATGTCACTTCTGTTCAATATTTCAGCCAACACTCTTCATTTTGTGGAAGAAAGCCCCGTTTACACACCTGAGATCGCGTTATTTTCAGGAAAGTAGTCATCTGGTCAAGCTGGACACTCGATCGTCCAATGCGGTTCAGGGAATAGGAATATATATCTGGGAGTAATGCCTGTTAATGTGGGGAAAATTGAATGTTTTATAAGGTGAGCGGTGACCGCCTTTCTACATCATCAATGATAGACTAATACATATACCAACTCCGGGAACATTTGCTTTGTGACCAAGAGTTATTTCCCCTGTAATGCCTGTGGTCTGTTTCAACACTGCAAATTAAAAAAAATAATTTTGCTCGCTTACTTCGAGAAAATCTTGAAAATACCATTTTTCTGATTTTTTTCTTTACATGTCGATAAGCTTATGTCATTCACATGTGCTATGTATCCCGTTGCAATATATATTGCAATATGTAAGCAGTTTTTCCTTATTGTACTTATAGCCAATATAATTGATCTACATTTACTGACAAATTCCATGACGAAATGCTTAAGTAATCATTTATATATACATTACTATCCAGATTTAAAGAATATTAATCGGTTACATGTATTCGGTTATATCGAGAAAAAAGGGAACATTTTAAACGATGGAGTAAATCCAGAAGTGGGAACCGCCGAAAAATCTTAAACGATGGAGTAAATCCAGAAGTGGGAACCTCCGAAAAATCTTTAACGATGGAGTAAGTCCAGAAAAGAGAACCGCCGAAAAATCTTAAACGATAAAGTAAGTTCAGAAGTGGGAACCTCCGAAAAATCTTCAACGATGGAGTAAATCCAGAAAAGAGAACCGCCGAAAATGTAACGCTGACTGGCTAGTACCTGTGTGGTGATACTATCAGATCTCTTCAATGATGTCACGAAAACGGTCACTTGTGACGTCATCAATCTCGTTTTGACAATGCTTACACATGTTATTAGAAGTAATGAAGGTTTCGGACTAGAATCTCCTAAAACAGGCATCGCTATTGCTAACAGAAAAATGTAATGTTGGTGTGACCATGACACCACTCATCAGATGGTTGTTGTATTGGACAAGAACTCTGGAAAACACGCCGAGAAAAAGTCAATATTGTGAACAACATTGCTGTATGACCTTTGGTGAAGTGTATGACCTTTGCTGTAGTGTATGACCTTTGCTGAAGTGTATGACCTTTGATGTAGTGTATGACCTTTGATGTAGTGTGTGACCTTTGCTGTAGATTTTGACCTTTGATGTAGTGTATGACCTTTGCTGTAGTGTATGACCTTTGCTGTAGTGTATGACTTTTGATGTAGTGTATGACCTTTGATGTAGTGTTTGACCTTTGGTGTGGTGTATGACCTTAGATGTAGTGTTTGACCTTTGGTGTAGTGTATGACCTTTGGTGAAGTGTATGACCTTTGATGTAGTGTATGACCTTTGGTGAAGTGTATGACATTTGATGTAGTGTATGACCTTTGGTGTAGTGTATTACCTTTTCTGTAGTGTATGACCTTTGGTGAAGTGTATGACATTTGATGTAGTGTATGACCTTTGGTGAAGTGTAAGACTTCTGATGTAATGCAAAGCATTTGGTTTTGTGACGTCGTGTTATATATGATCTTTGATGTCGTGTGTGACGTGTAGTATATGACTTTTGGTGTCCTCTGTAACGTCATGTAATATATAACATTTGGTGTAGTGAGTGACGTCCTATAAAATACGATCATTAATAGAATATGACACTTGATGTAGTGTTTGATATTGTGTAGTATATAACCTTTGGTGTAGTGTGTGACGTTGTGTTGTATATTTTCTTTGATGTAGAGTGTGACGTTGGGTTGTGTGTGACGTTGTGTAGTGTGTGACGTTGTGTAGTGTGTGACGTTGTGTGGTGTGTGACATTGTGTAGTGTGTGACGTTGTGTGGTGTTTGACATTGTGTAGTGTATGACGTTGTGTAGTGTGTGACGTTGTGTGGTGTGTGACATTGTATAGTGTATGACGTTGTGTGGTGTGTGACGTTGTGTGGTGCGTGACATTGTGTAGTGTGTGACGTTGTGTAGTGTGTGACGTTGTATGGTGTGTGACATTGTGTAGTGTATGACGTTGTGTAGTGTGTGACGTTGTGTGGTGTGTGAAGTTGTGTAGTATATGTTCTTTAGTGTTGTGTGTGACGTCGTGTAGTATATGACCTTTGGTGTAGTGTGTGACGTCGTGTAGATTATGACCTTTGGTGTAGAGTGTGACGTTGTGTGGTGTGCGTGTGACGTTGTGTTGTGTGTGACGTTGTGTAGTGTGTGACGTGTGGTGTGTGACGTTGTGTTGTGTGTGATATTGTGTTGTGTGTGACGTTGTGTAGAGTGTGACGTTGTGTAGTGTGTGACGTTGTGTGGTGTGTGACATTGTGTAGTGTGTGACGTTGTGTAGTATATGTTCTTTAGTGTTGTGTGTGATGTCGTGTAGTATATGACCTTTGGTGTAGTGTGTGACGTCGTGTAGATTATGACCTTTGGTGTAGAGTGTGACGTTGTGTGGTGTGCGACGTTGTGTTGTGTGTGACGTTGTGTTGTGTGTGACGTTGTGTTGTGTGTGATATTGTGTTGTGTGTGACGTTGTGTTGTGTGTGATATTGTGTTGTGTGTGACGTTGTGTAGAGTGAGACGTTGTGTAGTGTATGACGTTGTGTGGTGTGCGACGTTGTGTGGTGTGTGACGTCGTGTAGTATATGACCTTTGGTGTAGTGTGTGACGTCGTGTAGATTATGACGTTTGGTGTAGAGTGTGACGTTGTGTGGTGTGCGACGTTGTGTTGTGTATGACGTCGTGTAGTGTGTGACGTTGTGTAGTGTGTGACGTTGTGTTGTATATGTTCTTGTGTGTAGAGTGTGACGTTGTGTTGTGTGTGATATTGTGTTGTGTATGAAGTTGTGTCGTGTGTGACCTTTGGGGTAGAGTGTGACGTTGCGTTGTGTGTGAAGTTGTGTTGTGTGTGATATTGTGTTGTGTGTGACGTTGTGTAGAGTGAGACGTTGTGTAGTGTATGACGTTGTGTGGTGTGCGACGTTGTGTGGTGTGTGACGTCGTGTAGTATATGACCTTTGGTGTAGTGTGTGACGTCGTGTAGATTATGACGTTTGGTGTAGAGTGTGACGTTGTGTGGTGTGCGACGTTGTGTTGTGTATGACGTCGTGTAGTGTGTGACGTTGTGTAGTGTGTGACGTTGTGTTGTATATGTTCTTTGGTGTAGAGTGTGACGTTGTGTTGTGTGTGATATTGTGTAGTGTGTGACGTTGTGTTGTATGTGACGTTGTGTAATGTGGGACGTCGTGTAGTATATGACCTTTGGTGGTGTTGTGTGTGACGTTGTGTAGTGTTTGACGTTGTGTAGTGTGTGACGTTGTGTAGTGTGTGACGTTGTGTTGTGTGTGACGTTGTGTTGTGTGTGACCTTTGGGGTAGAGTGTGACGTTGCGTTGTGTGTGAAGTTGTGTTGTGTGTGACGTTGTGTTGTGTTGTGTGTGACCTTTGGGGTAGAGTTTGACGTTGTGTAGTGTGTGACGTTGTGTTGTGTGTGACGTTGTGTTGTGTGTGACGTTGTGTTGTGTGTGACCTTTGGGGTAAAGTGTGACGTTGTGTTGTGTGTGACGTTGTGTTGTGTGTGACCTTTGGGGTAGAGTGTGACGTTGTGTTGTAGTGTGTGACGTCGTGTGGTACGTGACATTTGGTGTAATA